TGGCGCTTCTCCCTCCTCCCTCTGACTGGGCGCTCCTTCATCCTCCCTCCTCCCTCTGACGTGGTGCTCCAGCACAGGTGGCACACAGCAGCTGCTGTAACCCCCACCCAAATGGACAGTCCATAATCCAGCCCCCTCCTGCACGCCCTCTCTCTCCCCCCCCAAAAAAAAACACAGAGAAATCGACATGCATCATGCATGAAAAAAAAAAGAGGCCAGATTTGGGCACTAATCCCAAAGCGCAGCAAGGTCTGCATAATCCAGATTTGCATGTCCGGGGTACCCCGGCCGTGGTCCCTGCCGGGCGCCCCGGGAATGCTAGGTCACGAGTTCAAACTTCAAATCCTTGTGGATACCTAATGTTGAGGCCCTTAGGGGTTGATCCCCTTCCTAAGAGAGAAACGATCTCACCTCCAGTGTGTGAACCAAGTTAAGGATGTACGAGGCATTGGCCGGCTCGGAGTCGTGTGCTTTCCGGTAGAGAATTATAGCCTCTTTAACAGCTGCAAGATGAACAAGACGTTGTGAAGAAGGGGTGGTGGGGAGACCAAAAAAGAGAGTTGATGGGCGGGCGGGGGAGGGGGAGGAGAGGGACGGAGGGGCGAAAGGAACACCTGATGTTCTGTTAGAACTCTAAACCAGGTAAACATTTCTGGTTCTCAACAGCAATTCAAGTGGTTTAACACCACAGATAACCATGTGACTCATATTGATTTAGAAAATGACATATGCTGCATACCAACAGAATTCAGACACTGCTCAGAAATTAAAGCTTTTCTTAAGGAGGGCCCTGGAGGAGGGGAAAAAAAGACAAGTTCAAGGTCCAGAAAAAGGAAACCTTAGCAACTAATTTGGCAAGGCCACTGGAATGACTGCAAGGCAAACTGTGGCACACCCACTCTACCATAAGGCACTGGGATGCAGTCAGCGCTATGGAACATCAATGGCCATACTTGAAATCCCATTCATCATATGTATACAATGCTATAGATTGAACCCAGTAACCACAGATGCGATGCAAAAAAGAAAAGAGAAAAAGATTTAAAAGAGAAAAAAAAGAAAGGGATTTAAAAAAAAAAAGAAGACGAAAAGAAAAAAAGCTCCAGCACGTATCAGGAGAGAGTATAGTGAAATGAACCCGACTGCAATCAAACAGCAATCCAACTTGCAGGACACCGAAAACTCACAGATGTTTTACACCAAGCACCCGACACACAAATCAGCAGTGTAAGAATATGAAAGCGTCCTCCGAACTCTTTACTAAGGGAGTCTCAGAGAGTCCGAGGCTAATGCAAAGACCCGCCAAAACACAGACTGAGAACGCTGCTGATTTCTGAGTTTTGTCGCTGAGAACGCTGCATTCTGTTGAGTTTTCTAAGTCTGTGTGTGTGCGTGCCTGCCTGAGTGCTTGTCGGCCTGAGTGTGTCTGACCTGCTAGGGTACTTGCTTTCTTGGGAGGCCCCATAGGGTCGATACTTACCTGTGGCCGTGACATTGAGGGTTGCAGCGGGAAAAACACTCAAGTGGCGGGAACAGGTCCGCGACACTTAGAGCAGTGGGGAAAAACACTCACGTAGCAGGTAGGCCGGTACCACACCAAGTAGTGGTGTGGTAGATGTGTCAGGTACTCTAGACCGAGCAGAAGACGACAAAAGTTGGCATTTTTAGAGGCCCAGTAGTTATCGGCTAGGTCCAGGCGGGTACCAGTCAAGTAGTCTGAGTCTAGGGCCTGTACGGGCAATATCAGAGTCTGCAATGATGTTTCCCTCCGAAAAGGAGGAGGTACCGGTTGCTTGGAGGCCGCGTGGCCTGGAAGTCACCGCCCAAGGAGGCAAGTAGGCCACTATATCTCCAGGACGAGTGAAGTGCTCCTCCTCATTTGCGGTATGCAAGTTTGGGCGACGTACTGCTGGAGCAAGCGCTGGACTTCAGAGCGCTGGTGGGAGGAGGAGCGCTGGGCATTACAGCGCTGCTAGGAGGAAGGAGACCGGGAGCTTCCACATTGGCTATGGTGGAGCTCTTCCGGTAGGAGGAGGAGGAAGAAGGGTGCCTAGGGAGGAGAGTGGCGGGGTGCCTACCTGGCTATGGTGGGCACCATCTTCGCCGCCTTGTTAGGCGTTGCATCTGGAAGGGCCCAGTTGGGGTTGCGCTGCACCAAAAGGCTTCCAGGCAGAGTCCGGCATGGCGGCCTGAACAGCAGCGGGCATAGCTGCTTTGAGTTGTCTTCTGCACAGCAGGGCAAGGCTGCCAAGGCCCTAGTAGTCCGCCATAGCCTCAGCCTACATGAAGAGGAAGGAGAAGGGTGGTCATGCTATGGTGGACCTCATGTTGTGCCTGCAGTAGAAGAGGGATTCGGACATTGATTCTGGTTCAGCCATTCATCACTAATTTTATTTATTGTTTGAATAAAGAGGGGAGGGGAAAAGGAGGAGGGATTGGTTGGCGAGAGGAAGGGAATTATCATTGGGCTTTGCTGGTGTACATCTTCTTCTTCGTCTCTCTCTCTCTCTCTCTCTCTCTCTCTCTCTCTCTCTCTCTCTCTCTCTCTCTCTCTCTCTCTCATTCATTTCTTTTTGCAATTGGTCGGCATTGGACTTTCTCATGAATTTGTACTTCGAAATTGGCCAGGATCGTAACACCTAAACGAAACAAAACACGGACTAGATTGTGACAAGCAACGAAAGTTTGAGTTTGCCACCAAAAAAAATAGAAAAAGGAATCAAGCACACACGAATGCAAGCCCTTCCAAGTTGATGAGCGCTGATCAGCAAACCAAGCGGTGTCAAGCAAGGTGTCTCACAGACCTACCTTGTCTCCGCAAACACGCCTGTAATTTTGCAGAACTTTCAGGCCACAGACAGATATAATGACCCGACGCTATGTTTGGGAAGGTAGGTCTGTTTACCCCCTAGGAGCATGGAGGTGGCACAATGGAAGCGAGAAAAAAAAAAAAAAAAAAAAAAAAAACAGAGAGCGGGTGGAGTAAAATATTTAAATTACTAAATGTACTTGAGAAGTTGAGAGCTTAATGTGGAGGCTTTTGCAGCAGAGGCAATACCTTTTTTTCTCTTGTTTTTTTTTTTTTTTTTTAAGTACAGGCAATACCTACCTCCAGAATAGTGTCAAACTTACATCCTATCACAGCTAAAACTGAAAATACAGACAAAAAAACAGGGGGGGGGGGGGGGAGAAAGGCAGAACCAAAAAATCCTCTTTTCTTTTCCGCAAACAATGTGGCAGCATTGATTGCCCTGGTCCCAGGGGATTGGCTGCCTGTGCCTCAGGACATTTCCGGATTCCATGCTATACACTTGGTAGCAGTGATTGCCCTGACACCAGATCCAAGAAATCCTACGCATAAAAGGCTGAAAGACTGCTTACCCTTTAAACCACCAGTACTTCCTAAAGTCGTGCCCGTTAATGCGCCACGATTTTAGGAAACGTACGGGCCACTACAGGAGCGGCCAAATTCATCCAACTAGAAACGTTTCTACTCTATTTTTTTCCGCGGCCGATAGCTGGGCCAAGTACTGGTGGTTTAAGACTCCTAAGTCCTAACCGTACATGGAAATCAATGTAGTTTGACGTTGGAACTGCTTACCAATCGCTCGGCAATGTACCCTTACGATCTAAGCATGGTCACTATCTTACCCCAACCACCCTCTAACCTAATCACTCCAGTCACTAGCCCTGCCTTAGGCATCCCCCTCTTTAAGTAATTGAAGGTTAGGGTAACGACTTTGGGCATGGTCACCTCCCATAGTGTGACGGGCGGTGTGTACAAGGCCCGGGAACGGATTCACCGCCGCATGGCTGACCGGCGATTACTAGTGATTCCGCCTTGCTGACGCCACACGTACAGAGCTACCTTCCAAGGATCTCAACTCATACTTCCTTGAGGCATTACGAGCAAACTGTAGCAGGACATCATGTTGCCCCTATTCTCAATCCATCAGCGATGACTTGAGCTTGTTTACTCATATACCTCTGCAGTGACCACAAAAACTTAGCTCTACCATCCACCTTCCCTCTTCCCAATCCGTCAAAGGCTCTCTCCACCCAGCAGCATCAATACACATATTCCATACTTACTCATTAGCTTCCTTACGTCTTGCCGTAGATGTTTCACCCTCTGCCATGCACTAACAAACAAAAAAAAGCAAAAAACTATCACTCAATAACATAGTCAATACCCAGCCCAAACTAGTAAAACAAATACAGTACCCAGTACTATCCACAATATCGCCTCCCCCGTACTAGCCACAATATCACCTCCCACTGCTCCCAGCAAGTAGGTTCCAGCTTTGCTACAGTTTATGGAAAACCCCTATCGAATCTATCGCTAACCAACGTTCTACCTTTCTGCTCCTCTGTTGACAAAATCTCAACACCAACAATAATGAGGAAGAGGAGGAGAAGAAGAGGAGGAGGAGGAGGAGGAGGAGGAGGAGGAGAAGAAGAAGAAGAAGAAGAAGAAGAAGAAGAAGAAGAAGAAGAAGAAGAAGGAGAAGAAGAAGAAGAAGAAGAAGGAAGACGAGAAGGAGGAGGAGGAGGAGGAGGAAAAGAAGAAGAAGAAGAAGAAGAAGAAGAAGAAGAAGAAGAAGAAGAAGAAGAAGAAGAAGAAGAGGAACAAGAGGAAGAAGAAGAAGAAGAAGAAGAGGAACAAGAGGAAGAAGAAGAAGAAGAAGAAGAAGAAGAAGAAGAAGAGGAACAACAACAACAACAACAAGGAGGAGGAGGAGGAGGAGGAGGACTGGGAGAAGGTGACACGTACCTCCAAACTCCTTGATTGTCGATGCCAGGAACGCAAGCACAGCTGGGCTTTCCTTCACATTAGCAAGCTCCTGATAAAGGTACTCTATGGCTGGGGAACCCAAACAGAACGAAAATTTGTGCTTCATCAATAATTCAAGAAAGCCGTTGGTCTAGCTCAGTTGGTAGAGCACGAAAGTGGCATTCAGGAGGTCGAGGGTTCGATTCCCCACAGTCTTCACTTGAGCCCCCACAGCCTCCTGCGGCTCGCTCCAGGTTCACCAGCTCTGGTAGGGCTTGGGAGGGTTTGTGACCCCTCCCTTCCATTGCCCGGGGCTGGAAGAAGCTGCGTGCTTAGACACGGGAGGAGGTCGGTGCCAGCCCATAACTCTTAGGATTGCTGCAACAATCAATATTCAAGAACTGGACTTAGGCAAGAGGTTAGGTAGAGTGAGGTATATGAAAGAAGAATATAGCTTAGTTCTTCAAAAAAAGAGGGGGGGGGGAAAGAAAGCAAGTACAGCTGTCCTTCCTTGGTCAATGATTCCATCCTTGAAATATTAGAGCAAACAAGGTAAAATTTTAAATTTCACAACTTCCTTCATAAGGGTTAAAACTTAAAAGGCAAGGACTCGGTACCAAAAGACAACAGTATCCCCATATTATCGTTGAATTCGATTCCCAATTCGGCAAGTTCAAACAGAAGGGTTAAAAGGCAAGGACTCAGTACCAAAAGACAACTGTCCAATCCATAAGTCGGAAAAAAAACGAAAAGAAGAACATGTCGGACATCCCACACTGTTTTTCCAAACAATAAGCTTGTGAGACTCTTAGTCAGCCTGCCACAAAAGAGCCAACAGCATTAAGGACTCGACGCTGGTAAAATAGGGTCATAGGTTCATGAAGGGGGCATTTTGTCTTCACAAAACAGGTTTGAAGCTCGACATGACAACACATGTAGGCCATGCTGTCCTTAGAAAAGGAAAGCAAGGCATCTAAGACATTGACCGAAACTGCATAGCACGGCGAACGTGTTTGCGCCCCTCCGCATTCGCCCGAACGTGTTCTCGCGAACGGCTCACGAGCGTGTTCGGGCGAACATAATATTTTTTCCGTTAAAAAAAAAGAAAGAAAAAACGGTTTCTGATTTTTAACTCACGTTTGGCTGAGAATTTGAACATGACTCCAAGGCAAACGTTGGTTGTATTGTTGTTTTACATTACATATATTTCTTTCAAATTTTCTGAGATATGTTTTTGTTTTTTTAACTTTTGCGAACATGTTCGCGTTCGCCTCCAAATGCGAGCACGATGCTACGCAGGACCCAACAAGTGTTTTGGGACTGCATTTTGACCCTGCACATCCAGTGGGGGCATTTTGACCCTACAAAATGCAGTAGGGGCATTTTGACCCTACAAAATGCAGTAGGGGCATTTTGACCCTACAAAATGCAGTAGGGGCATTTTGACCCAACAAAATGCAGCAGTGGCATTTTTAGTATTTTTACCCTACAACATGCTACAGACAAAGTCAATATCAAAGAATACATATTCAATTCACGGAAGATGTATGGGTCAAGGAGAAATTTTTGCAATCAGACTCGCTCTCTTTTCCACTCCACATACATGCAAACAGATAGAAATTCACACTGGCGCTCAGGCGCCCACTCAAAGCTCAGAGATATGGACACCGCGAACACAGTTCAGATGCAATCTCGTTTCAACAGGCTATGGCGCATAAGCGCCGATACATCCCAAATCACGCCTCTGTATCCAACCCCACTCTTCGCAGACACTTCAACTCTGGATCTCCCTGAATACTCCACACACACACCCTGCTCACACACACCACACACTAACAGCTGTCTCTAACCTATCGCGGTTATGGCCGCTCACTACTACTACTACGACTAGTCGATCTTCTTCCAGCCCACTTCGACTTCGGGCGCTCTGCAGACCACCTCGCACAAGACGCTGGGGCAGCGCTTCCGCATGGCTTACGCAGCGACTGAACGAATGGCTGGGCGCTGCCTCTTGATTTATACTTCTGTAACTCGTTGGTCTGCCCCTTTTCACCGGGCCCATGGTGCACACAGTCCCTCATGGTACTTGCTGACTGTGCAAAGTGAGACTGGGACTGGGTACCACTGACTAAGCGAAGTTGGACACACCACTTGCCCACTTGCCTCTGACTAAACGTGAGAATTCTCGAAAGGCCATTTCCGGACCTTCCGAAAGTCTGAGGACTTGGCCTTTTGAGTACTGTAGCAGCTACGACCTTGACCTTTCAGAACACCTACAGCTACAACCTCTACAGAGCTGTGACCCCGATTCGACAGACCTACAGATCAAACCCCTACAACTACACAGACCTATGACAAACAACAACCAACTACCAGGACACAGGTCGCGGGTTCAAACACTCAGGGGCCGACTCGATACTGTACACGGGTAAGGAAAGGTCTGGGGATCGAACTCTAGGGCCCGCATCTGTGGCTGCAAAAAGGTGAAAACCGTTTCATTTTTAACTTAGTGGGAAAAACAGGTTTTGAACCCGCGCCTTCTGCCGTGACAGAGTTTGCCCAAGTTACGGCAATTTCAAATGAACATAGAATAAATCAAGGAAGATGTATGGGTCAAGGAGACTGCTTACTCAATCAAGGTGGAATGTATGGGTCACGCAGAAATTTCACTTAGTGGGAAAAAACTTCAAAAAAGGGATTTGAACCCGAGGCTTCTGGCATGACAGAGTTTGCCCCCCAAGTTACAGCCCCCCCAAATGAACATAGAATAAATCAAGGAAGATGTATGGGCCAAGGAGACTGCTTACTAAGCCAATCAAGGAAGAGCTACGGGTCAAGGAGATCAGAGATGTGTGGGTCAACCAGTCCACTTAGTCAATAAACATGGATGCATCACGGGTCCACGAGACCACTTACTGCCAGGTTTCTGTAGCACCTCGGCAGCCTTTTCCTTCACTCTTTTGTCACCTGCGCAGCAGGCAAAATATAATAAGATGCGTAGATGCACACAGACAGAATGCCACAGAGTCAGAGGAGTGGCACGCAAACAAAAAATGTGACACAAACACAGTGAAACAGCAAAATGTATGCATGCACATACACACGGTCTGACCACACCCTTCACACCCCTCCTCCTTACCAACAACTCTTCTACATCCTTTCACACTTCCATACTTCTTTTTTTTTTTTTTTTCCATCCTTCTCTTTGTCATCCTTGTTCTCATTCTACCATGCATGCAAGCGCACGTCGTGCGTTGGTTCGCAGACTGTTGGCACGCAAGCGCACCCTGACCGCACAGCGCACGAGAGCCCAGGCCCAAAACAAAAAAAAAAAAGAAGGTGCGGGTGCCGGTTCATCGTTGCTCCGGCCCCCAAGCAAAAATCGAACTAGGGCCCAAAACAAAATTCATCGGGCCGTGCAGCGCACGAACTAGGGCCCAAAGGCCCCAAAGGAATGTTCTTTTTTTAATGGAAACTTTGAAATTCAAACTGTGATGGTATCTTGTTGTCGTCGTCCTCCTCCTTGATCCCTCCTCGTCCATCTTTCCTCCTCCATCTCACAATCTCTCCTCCTCCACCTCTCATCCTCCTTGTCACCACCTCGTCACTTTTCCTTTCGTTTCTTTTTTCTTTTAATGGGAACTTTGAAGTTTGAACTGTGATGGTATCTCCTCGTCGTCGTCCTCCTCCTCGATCCCTCCCCGTCCATCTTTCCTCCATCTCTCCATCTCCTCTCCTCCACCTCTCATCGTCCTTGTCACGGCCTCGTCACTTCTATTTTTTTTTAATGGAGACTTCGAACTGTGATGGTATCTTGTCATTGTCGTCGTCGTCGTCCTCCTCCATATCTCCGCATCCTCTTCCTTGATCCCTCCTTGTCCATCTTTCCTCCTCCATCTCTTCATCTCTCCTCCTCCACTTCTCATCCTCCTTATCACGGCTTCGTCACTTTTTTTTAAGTTTTTTTTTTAATGGAAACTTCTAAGTTCAAACTGTGATGGTATCTCGTCCTGCTTTTCACGTCGTCGTCCTCCTCCTCCTCCTCCTCCATCTTTCCTTCTCCATCTTTCCTTCTCCATCTCATCTCCTCCTTGTCACGCCCTCATCTTGTTTTTTTTTTTTTTTTTAATGAAACTCTGAAAATCAAACTCCGATTGTATTTCCTTGTCACGTTGTCGTCGTCACGTTTTTATTCAATGGACATTTGAAAAAGCAATTTTTTCCGTGGTGAAAGGCAATCAATCGCTCTTTTTCCCCCGTTTATGTTTTGCAAAAGCAGTGAAGTGCTATTTTCGTGGGGGGTTTGGGGGGGTAGGGGGCTAGGAGGGGGTGTAATAAAGCTGACTTCATGGGGTTTCAGGGGTTGAGAGGGCTAGGAGGGGAAGGGGGTGGGGGATGTGTTTTCGGAGTGGATGCAGGAAACGGCTGAGTTCGTGGCTTCTCTTCTGCGGTTTTGTGCGCAGATCACAATTATGAGCCACATGTATAGTTCCACTTTGATCAAGCAGCGCGGCCAAGAAGACGGGGTCCGTGAATGAGGGCTTGAGGCATGCGCTGATCCATGTGGCAAGGGTGACTGATGGCGTCAGCAATCTTCCTAGTGTGTCCAGTCTGGTCCCTGCATCAACAGGTGTGGCAAATGTGGGTGGGGATAGAGGAAAAAGGTGATTGCTGCATTCACCTTGCGGGATGGCCGCACCCGCAGCGCGCGGCCCCGTGCAGCCCTGTACGGTACGGGTACGGGCCTGTACGGAGGTTCGGGAGGTTCAGAACCGGACCCCGTACGCCGCACCGGACGGTGCGGCACGCTGTGCGGCTGCAAGTATGCATTCTACGTGTGCCACTTCTCTTCCTCTTCTTATTCTCAAACACTAGCCTTTGCACAAATTGCATGTTGCTCCTTTTCCTCTCTTTCATTTTCTCTTATTCTAGCTCCCTGGTTCTGGTTCTTGCATCCCGAAAATCCAACACTCCCGAAAATGTCACATTAAGCTGTCATTGACAGACAATGGATAGAACAGAGACAGAAGCCAACATTGAGATGCACAGCTTGCTGAATGTCTCGGGAGCTGGAACGAACATGGAGGCAACTCATTCAAACCACTACTACCTCACTCACTCTTGGGAAAAATGGGAAAACTGGCAGTTTTCCCATTTTCCCTGATGTGATGACCCGACCAAACACGGACTAAGACACACAGCTGATTTCTGAGTTTTGCTCATGGACTGAATGCCTTGCTGAGTTTCCCGCTCGCTACTAAGTTCTCTAAGTCTGTGTGTGGGCACGCTTGCTGGTCTGCATGTCTGTCTGAGTGCTTGTTGGCTTGAGTGTTGTGTGTGTTGTGTGACCCGCAAGGGCACTTGTTCGTTCGTTGGGCCCTCGGGGAAGGTACTTACCTGTGGCTGTGACATTGAGGGTTGCAGTGGGGAAAACACTCAAGTGGCGGGGGAAGAGGCCCGCAACACTTGAAGCAGCGGGGAAACACTCAAGTAGCAGGTAGGCCGGTAGCACACCCCGAAGAGGTAGATGTGCCGGGTACTGGAGGCTGAGCAGAAGAAGACAAAAGTTGGCATTTTTAGAGGCTCAGTTGTTGTAGGCTAGGTCTAGGCAGTACCAGTCCAACCAGTCTGAGTCTAGGGCCTGTACGGGCAATATCAAGGTCTGCAATGATGTTTCCCTCCGAAAGAGAGGAGGTACCGGTTGCTTGGAAGGCCGAGCGGCCTGGAAGTCACTCCCCAAGAGGCAAGCAGGCCGCTATATCTCCAGGCCAGGCGAAGAGCCCAGCGTCATTGTCGGTGTGCAAGTTTGGCGACACACTGGTTGGAGCGCTGGCTGGAGCAGCGCTAGCAAGAGCAGCGCTGCTGGGGAAGGAGCAAGGACAAGGAGGAGGAAGAAGACCAGGAGGAAGGGGGAGCGCCAGAGGTACTTACCTGGCTATGGTGGCAGCCATCTTCATCACCTTGGTGGGCGCTGCAGCAGGAAGACCCCAGTTGGGGGAGAGCTACACCAAGAAGCTTCAAGGTAGAGTCAGGCATGGCGGCTCCGGTGTACATCATCTTCTTCTTCTTTCTTTCTTTCTTCTTCTTCTTCTTACCCTCTCTCTCCTCTCAAGTTCATTCATATCTTTCTGCAATTGGACGGCATTGTACTATCTGATGAATGTGTACTTCGAAACTGGCCAGGATCATAACACTGAAGTTTTCGGGTGTCGGGGGAGGCTTAGCAAGAAGGGCCTCCTGGGCCCGCTTGAAATACAAAAAGGCAAAAAAAAGGACAACATTCGCCCACCAGGAAGCCAGGAAAGATATCGGGAAAGGCCATGGAGGATGTACTGCTTACATCAGAACTGGCAACGATGTACGTGAGTCACGTGACTAATATTGTGGCTACTTTCATTTTTCATGATTTTTGTTGTGTGTTTTATTTTTTCCGTTACGCTGCCCTGCCTCCAAGGAAGGGCGCTGTCCACGGGATGCTGACAGTCTGTCATGGAGGGCATGCTCATAAAGACTACTACTGATAATGCACCAACCCGCTTTCCCGTCCCTAATACAGTTTCCATTTTTACCCCCTTTCCGTATGCCGTGGACTTGACTGTGCCTTTGTAACGCCCTCGCTGAGGGCATACTCACACAAGTACTGTGTTATGAACTTGGTTGCCTGGCGAATTTTATCGCCACTCACACTCAGACAATCCCACACATGCCCATACATGCATAAGAAAAGGGGAGAGAGGAGACAGAGTCCAAACTGCACACAGGTGAAAATAAGCAGCGGAAGACAATCATGCACAGATGGGGAGAGCACACACAGTGTTTCTCACTCTCTGACACAACTCCCAACAACCAATCACAAGTAAGAACCTGCGAAGATCACAATTGGAAATCACACTGATGATGAACCACTCAAACGGTTATCGTAACAGAGTTTGTTCCAGTATCTCGCCACTCTCAGAACTCACACCCCACTCTCTATCCTACACCCAGTTAGTAGCGCCACATCAGATTGGCCTCCAAGAGGCCAGCGCCAACCACCCTGATGAAGAAAGTGGGGTGTCCTACCCGGTCCTGCGATGAAGTCTTCAGTGCCGAAGGACAACTCTGACGAAGGAACAGGCAGCTATGGCTGCCACCACCCACGAACACACACTGTGGAGCCTCGATACAGCCCGGCCATACGCAGATACCCCCAGGGCTAGATGCGCTGAGGATGCCCCAGCTATGGCAGACTCAGAGAGGGCCAGCTATGGCTGCTGTCAACGGCCAGTCTCAGGATGCCGCCTGTAGACAGATACCGCCACCAACTTGCTTGGCTTCTCCAACGCGGCTTCGTGAGAAATGAACTGCCAAAAACCCTGAACCGATGGGCCTAACCTACCTATCGACTACCTAGACCTAGACCGGACTGACTGACCGACCGGTACCATTGCTGTTTCGGCCTCTCGGCCTCTACCGGACCCGGCTATAGGCTGTAGGACCGTCTAGCAGTATAGGCCGCTTAGGGCCTCTGTCCTAGGGGTAGCCCGGGCCTGCTACAGGCAGTTAGGGTAGCTGTAGGAATTCGGGTTAGTACTGGGCCCGTATTTTCCCAAAGTTACAGATATGTCCCTCACGAATTTCCTTACAGGCAGGTCTCTCGGTTAGCCCTCAGCCAAATAAAACTACGAATCTAACCCTACCGGTTAGTGTACAGCCTCGCAGTCAATCTCGGCAGTAGAAATCAGCAAGTCGTTGCAACTGTACATTCTGTATCCACCTGCTATTACGTCCAAATAGTTGTTCCTCTTTGTTTTTTTTTTTTTAATCAAAGGTGTGATGCCAAATTCTTTTTTTTTTCCCAAGAGTACCAGAAAAATGAACAGAACGGGACCCAGGCTCGGCAAAAGTCGGCACGCAGTGAAAATCAGGGTCAGCAAAAACAGGCTCGGAGGTAGTGGCGGTCCAAGGAAAACAGAAAAAAAGAAAAAAAAAAGAATAGAGAGAAAAGTTCAGAAAACAACACATCAAGGAAAACAAATCAATGAGCATGTAGGGTCCTCGGCATACTTTTGCAACCCATTGTCCCAGACACTGGAGGACAATATTACTTGAGATGTCGAGAACGGCATATTCACACCGAGGGTCAAAAGCGCATGCGCCGAGAGACAACAGTTCGAGCCGTGACCTACTCTGACAGGACATCCGATCCGTTGTCTAAACCCCTCCTGACATAGAAAAAGTCAAACCTCTATGTCAACTTGGGAAGTCAACCACTCTAGAAAAAAGTCAGACCTACTCTAGAAAGTCAAACCTCTATGTCTAAACCACACTGAAAGTCAGACCTACTCTAGAAAAAGTCAAACCTCTATGTCTAAACCCCTCATGATCAGTCAACCACTCTGGTCACACAGAGGTCAAATCATGACCAGTCAACCACATCTGGTCAACCAAAAGTCAGTCAACCGCAGATCATCAACCAGTCTGGCCAACCAAAAGTCAGTCAACCACAGATCATCAACCAGTCTGGTCAACCAAAAGTCAGTCAACCACTGATAGTCCACCAGTCTGGTCAACCAAAACTCAGTCAACCACTGATAGTCCACCAGTCTGGTCAACCAAAAATCAGTCAACCACAGATCATCAACCAGTCTGGTCAACAAAAAGTCAAGTCACGATCAGTCAGACAGATAGTCAACCAATCTGGTCACCCAGTCGTCGAATCACAATCAGTCAACCACAGATGCCCAATGACTCTGGTCGCCCAGCAAAACTCAGATGTTGCAATTCATGTGAATAGCAGGTGGTCAATTACAGAGTCAACAAGCAATCGCTGCAGCCACAGTGAAAACCACAGGCCTCAGGTAACCACTCACCAAATGTGAAAACGGCAAGTGTATCCTGAGCTAGATCATAGCCAACCTTCTTCATTTTCAGATTCAGCGAGTGGTCAATCAAGGCCAAATCTGACAGCCATCCCAACGATATGTGAAAACGGCAAGCGTAATAGTCTTCACTCTCGTCTCCGTTGCATATACGAATACAGTAATGTTAGGCCGACCGAATTTGGAAACAAAACAAACGACAACTGGGTGGGGATCCGGGCCGCCCGGCTGACTGGCGGGGGCCCGGGGGAGGTCCCGGACGGCCTGGCCGGGCAGGGCACCCGGTTGGGGGCCGGGCCCCCCCAGCGCACTCACCTGTCTGGGGGTCTCGGCCTCTTTTTGCTGCTGTTAGCCTCCCGCAGGCCTACCGGGTCCGACCGGCCCCAAAAACCGTCCCGTCGGGCCCGGTAGGCCTGTGGGATTTTTCAATTTTGAAAATTTGTGACGGCTCTGTGGCCGTCGATCCATCATGATCGACGGCCACAGAGCCGGTGGATCTAGGCGCCAAACTTCCCCCAGTTCAAACCTGGGATTGGCTGGGGTGGTCTGCCACTCGCCCCCCAGCAGGATCGGAGTTGCTCCTGCGCCGTCCTGCTGCTTCGTCGTCCATCGCCCGTCGCCCGTCGTCATCGCCATCGAGAGTCCTGCTGCAGCTGCTACGACGAAGGCCCCGACTGTCCTGATGCTGCTGCTACGACGAAGGCCCCAACTGTCCTGCTGCTGCTGCTGCTACGACGAACGCCCCGACGATGAAGGCGCCGTTCTTCTTCTTCTTCTTCTTCTTCTTCTTCTTCTTCTTCTTCCTGTCGTAATCGTTTAGGGTTGTGTTGGACGGGTAGACGAAGGCCCTGCTGCTAGGGTAACTGTTGCAGGTAAGGACGAAGGCCCCGACGAACTTCTTCTTCTTCTTCTTCTTCTTCTTCTTCTTGATCATTTGGTAGGTCACGTGAGATACGACAAGCCATCCACCTAGCCCCCCCCTTCTCGGCTCTTCTTCTTCTTCTTCTTCTTCTTCTTCTTCTTCTTCTTCTTCTTCTTCTTCTTCTTCTTCTTCTTCTTCTCTCCTCCTCCTTCTCCTCTCGTCTTCTTCGTCTTCCCCTCGTCCCCCTCGCATTTTCATCTTCCTCAACCTTCTTCTTCTTCGTCATCTTCCCCTTCTCCCCAACTCGTTTTCTTTCTCCTCCTCCTCCTCCTCCTCCTCCTCCTCCTCCTCCTCTTCTTCTTCTTCTTCTTCTTCTTCTCCTTCTTCTTCTTCTTCTTCTTCTTCTTCTTCTTCTTCTTCTTCTTCTGATCCATTCGCTAGGTCTTCTTCTCTCCTCTTCTTCCTCTTCCCGTCCTTCCCTACTCCCTCCCTGCCTTTCTTCAGGCCGCCACCATACCCTACCACCATACCCCGCCGCCGCCATACCCTACCGCTGCCATACCCTACTGCCATACCCTACCGCCAAACCCCGCCGCCGCCATACCCTACCGCCGCCATACCTTACAGCCATACCCCGCCGCCGCCATACCCTACTGCCATACCCTACCGCCATACCCTACCGCCATACCCTACCGCCATACCCTACCGCCATACCCTACCGCCGCCATACCCTACCGCAGCCATACTTCTTCCCCATCTTCTTCTTCTTCTTCTTCTTCTTCTTCTTCTTCTCCTCTCGTCTTCTTAGTCTTCCCCACTCGTTTTCTTTCTCCTCCTCCTCCTATTCTTCTTCTTCTTCTTCTTCTTCTTCTCCTTCTCCTTCTCCTTCTTCTTCTAGTTCGTCGACATTCGGTAGGTCACGTGATACACGACAGGATAAAAAAAAAAAAAAAAAC